GGGCTTGAGCAGTCCAGTGTGCGACGAGGAAAATTTTGCCCGGGCTGCGGCACCACAGCCTACGCTTATATCGAATTCTAACTGCCAAGGGATCTTTTACGTGCACTCTAATGTGAACACGGGACCTCGGTTTTTCTTCTCATCCGAACAACATATAAACGCTGTCCCTTGTCAAGCCCTTCGTCCTGCACCAGTGACAAGGGGGAACCACGACGGAAAATCCCGATGAATATTCTCTGTCAACGGAGGGGACGAACACGGGGCCAACATGTTAGCGAGCCAACGTCCCACCCAATGCGCCACCGTGGCTCCCGTATTGTGAATATGTAGTATAGTTTATTCTTTGTCTCATGATGATTGTGGCTATCTTTATAACGGATCACTGACCAGTTCATTATAAATTTCTCTCTATAAATTTCTCTCTTGACAGCTATTCAAATGTGGGACATGTTTTCAAAGGGCTTCTCTCTTCCATATTTTCTATATTACTTTGAACGTAATTTGTCAGATCGGTATAGGATTAATATAATGCCCTGTAATCTGTGCAAATCTTTGTAAGAAAAGGTTATGGGGAGTAGCTAGCATTTGGATGTCTCAATACGCTTCATCCCTTCACATGGATCTAATCTTATGCAATGTCGCGTGCCTGTAAGTTGTCTCATTGACTCAGGAATGTTACTTATCGCCTGAATATATCGGTACACACACGATCATATGGTTAACAACACAACGTATCGATATGTCGCTGTGGGCACACAAGCTTTGTAAATAACACTGCAGCAGCTATAATAAAATTAATAAAATTGTATTGAACAGAGCATGCGTCCACAGTTTGTAAGCATATTAAATAATATACCCCCCCCCCCTTCCCCAGTGTGAATGGGACAAAGAGGAACCTAAAGGACTTACATATAGCAGTTTGATTGTATTATATTGTGACCAGGGATATTTTATTCATGCAGAAGTAAATCAAACTTCCATGCATTCTTCTCTATTCCTACATCTATTCTAGAATACGAATATATTATGCATTCGATATTCCCATTGCAATTAAATTAGATTATTCATGTACTATGTCTAGTCTAATGTTAGAATTTGATATAGCCTTTGGTTCACATATATTGACGGTTGTAAGCCCAGATCAAAGTATAATTTATTGTGGTGATTTGTTCAGAAGCATTTATATGCTGCTTCACGACACAACCGTGTTTGGATTATAATAGTGTAATGTGACAATATGATTTCCTGGCTTCCTCTCCAGCACTTAGTAATATGAAATAAAAATGAATTTCCTGTTTGTGTTCACAAAAGTAAGAAGACTTGAACTGAAATCGGGTTAAACGTCCTACCTTTCTCCACCAAACAGGCTAATGAATACGGGTACAAGACCATACAGTTTGCCATGAGAGAAATTTGCCCAAGCGGCATCGCTAAGATTACGTCGATTTTTATTTAAAGTGCTTCTAATAGTATACAACGAACCAGGTTTTTCGTCCATTCCGTAGGACTTGACGATTTTCCGTGGTAAAAGGACACCAGGGCAAACTCTTTGACCAACGCGGGGTTCTCCTGGTTAGTGAACCAGCCCCATACTCATTGAACCACCGTAACTCCCGTTATGAATACAGTAATATAAATGGAAGGAAATTCCTACTTTTCTACACCAACCAGGATAATAAAAACAAGAAAATAATAAAAGTACCCATTGTTCCACTTGTTGTTTTATTCTTTGAATGTCAGTGTTGTTGTGTCTTATGATCTATGTCCTTTTGTGGCTTGATGAATGATGTCCTTCTGTGTCATGATTCGTGTACTTCAGGTCCCTGGTGTAATGAATTCATCGATATGATTCATAACGGCTGTTGGGGATAAAATATAGCGTGTTTGAACAAGGTGGTCAAATTATGATAACACTGCTCGGTATTCTCTATTGCCGTTTTGTTAGCAACAATAAAAATGTCGGTACTAATTACATAGCTAATATTCATAACCCCAGACCAATCTAATCAACGAATTAATCATAAAATACCGACAAAAACCGAAGGTATCGTTAAATATCGATAATACTGGTAGATTTTAATTACAACTTGACACTTTTCTTGTAGTGGTTTGTCAACTAACTCCACAATACTCGGCATTTTATCAACGGAAATTAGTTTGCAAGATGTTTGTTCAGTCGAATAGGCTCGTAAATTTATATGGAACCCCATTATTCACTCGTAATTTATAGATTGCTCCACAGACGAGAACTTCTTGTATTTTAAGACTATGAAATTAAGCAAGATTAATTTCAAATAGATTCATAAGAGAAATTATAAAGAGGAAATTACCACAATTTAAGATTTTAAGATTTATATAATACGGAACATGAGAAGTACCACGGGGTATTCTTGAAAGAGTCGCTTCTTCATTAGTCCGACATGGGCAGAACAGTATGGCGTTAAAACCCATTATAAATCAACTGAAAGCGTGAAGACTATTGTTATGCGCCTAACACAATGTTTTGCAATTGATGTAAATGCAATGAAACGAAATGGGGTTTAACGTCCTACTGTTCTGCTCCTATGCTGGGCTAATGAAGACGGGCATACGCCATACAGTGTGCTATGAGGGAAATTTTGCCCGGGCAGCGGCACTATCGCCTAATCTTATATCGAATTCCAACTGCCAAGGGATCTTTTACGTGCATTTCAATGTATACACGGGACCTCGGTTTTTCGTCTCATCCGAAGGACTAGACAGCTGTTCTTGTCAGGCCCTCCGCACTGTATCACTGACAGGGGGAACCACGCCGGAAAATCTGGATGAACTTTCTCGCCCAATGCAGGGACCGAGCACCCGACCTCCAGGCTAGCGAGCCAGCGTCTTACCCATTTAGCCACGTGATCCCCCTACAATTGATATAAGATCGGCGTACCCTGAAATCAAAATCTGATCGGAGTTTACACTGCTAGTTTTGTAAGGTAACAAATACTTTGGTCAAAATAAAATGTGGGTCACCTGGTCCAAATCAAAGAATCTAAAATAATTTTAAATAGGATTAAGTTGACCAATTACTCACGCATATTTAAAGAAACTGGCGATTTAATATTTCTTTTATGAAACAATATTGATTAACAATGGGAACAGTTTATTCAAGAAGAAAATTTCCAATTATATTTTTTATAGTGAAAATAGCAGCTGTAATTCTAACAAAAAGATCACTTGAACACTTTAGATCCGGACAACAATTCACTTCTTTAACGGGAAAAATAATCAGTCGATTAAAACAAATATCATCGTATTCTCTGAAATTGTGATAATTAGTTCAGACAAATGATAAAACAATGAACGTTTCTTGTAAAATTGAAATACAATGAAATGAGGTTTAACTTCTTATTTTTCTGCATCGACCGGGCGAATGAAAAAGAACGTGCGCCTTGCAGTGTACTATGTGGGACACTTGTCCGTCCTACTCTTATTTCGAATTCCAACTGCCAGGGGTCGTTTTACGAGCACGGGACCTTGGTTTTACGTCCCATCCAAATGACTAGATACTGACCTTGTCAGACCCTCCACCTCGCACCGCTAACAAGGGGAACCAAGCTCGAACGTCCAGGGGGGATTTTCTTCACCAACGCTGCGATGGAACCGCGGACCTCCTGCTAAGTGAGCAAGCTTCTTACCCACTGCACCACCGTCGTTCCTTCTTAAATTGAATCCAATTAAATATAATCTTCAATCAGGAATTCGTCAATATTCAAATATAACTTTTACCGAAGTTGGCGTATACATTTTTAATTGCATTGATATAGATATCTTTATGTATGTATATATTTGTTGTGAAGATCAGAATTAAAACGATGAAAGATTAATCGTTAAATTAGATTTCTTTCTAAAAGAATGAACAAGTAAAACCATCCCATCATTTATCCACATGGTTAACAAAACCGGTAGCAGTTAATTATTCATTAATTATCGTGTTTGATCATGGATGTACACGTCTTTGGTTATATCGACAGAATAAAACAGGAATACATTGTTCTTATTAACCGACTAATAAGTGAGCAAATTTGTTGATTAATTCATTTGCAAGGAAAGAGCCAAGGTTCTGCGTCCAAGGTAATTATACGATTATGACATTCGATGTTTGTATGACAAAAAGGATATAATATGCACCCTAACGTTTTCCATTCTATTTAGAAATTTTCTGAAAAAAAGCTCGCAAAAACTCATCGGTATTCCGTTGTCTTTTATTTCTTAAAAAGTCTCTGGGTATCATTTGAAAAATCCTTTGGAAACTGCAATAATGGCTAATCTTATAAGTAATGCCAATCCAAAAATGGTTCAAATCCGTTCAGTATTTGTCAACATATATACGGGATATGGTCCAAATCTTCGTTAAACTCTTTGATTGCCCTTTTTATCAAAATCAGATGAGTACAAGTCGGGATATTATCCACCGCTGAAATTTTAATTTTGTTTGCTTAATGAAATGTTTAATAATCAATTTGAGCATATATCTTAGCATGGATTAGGCAATGGAAACATTGACATTTTCCGAAAATTGCAAAGGACACATCGATAATGTTACATTAAAACTTTAGGACAAAAAACCTAGACTACGGAATACAACTTTACATAAGCACCGTGAAATGGACGTAAGTATGTGTCGTTTTACTGGAACGACATTTGGACTAATAACTAATGAGTACACGGAAACTACAATTTTAAAGTAAAGACTGACGGCAACTCAGCTAAATTTGCAATACATCATTCTAATTTGTCGATATAAGTTATAAATGCTGTTTTATGAGAACACACCTAATTTGGATTTAGCATTATCTACCTAGACCTGCTTTGCAATGTCATGATCAAGGGACGTCATAAAGATCGGGGCCACAGCGGAGGGCACAATAAACAACTGAGCTAATTTAGTTCATCTGTAGTTGTAAATCCAAAAAAAGGGTACCGCCAGTGTCGGCCATAAAACTTTCATATGATCAAGAAATTTTGCTTACCAAATATTAATACTTCCACTCTTTACTCAAGTTTTACGTTATTAATCCCTCACTAGTTCACGATTAACAGCTAAACTTGCACCTTATTCCAGTGTTTTATTCACATATAGTTCTTTACAAAGTATCTAATGTCTGAGACTGACAAATAAACATCGACTGTTGTTTGTCAGTATTCTTTTCGTACTCTCAAAATATATATATATATATATATATATAAGATTAAGTAGACGACACTTATCACTTTCTATTCCACGTGTAAAAATATTCACAATACCCTTCTTTATTGCAGACGGCAAAATTCGTCGATTCGTGAATCGTGATCAAATATCGACAAACAAATAAGACCAAATTCACCCGAGGTCTAAATCAACAGAACTAAGGTTCTAAATGCACATGTAAGATGCCTGTTAGCTATTTATCATCCGTTCTTTTAGAAACGTGGTGGAACTTTTCTCCCGCCGGCCATGTACAAGCAGACGACGTTTTCCTAACCAGCTTCCGCGTAATTTTACCACCGTTTCATTCAAGAACACGATGAATTGTAAACGTGGACGGGTCTATTTTACCATGGAGGTAGTACAGAGTCAAATGACGGCCATCTAAAAATGATTTGTGTTAAGCTTGCTATATTATTGATATGGTCATATAACCCGTTATCAAATCATCACAATTTGATTGTTTCTTTTTATTAAAGCGACAATTCTCCAAACAAAAATTATTGTCTCAAGGTAACTGTTTTCTCTATCTTTTATATGGTTTAAACCCATTATAGTATCTTAAAACATTGTCCACTATAAACAAATAGACAATAGTATGTTTTAGAGCAAAAAAGAGAAAGATACTGCAATTAAATGTTTTTATTTATTTTTTTAAATGCGCCCACCTTTTACCGTGGTCGTATCGTGTCGTCGCCCTTGTCCGTCCGGACGTCTTCATATTTTAACACACGCTAATATGAAATATCATGAATTGGATTTCTTGTAGTTCTAGGTTTAATAGAACGTCAGAAATCGTGCATTGATTAGCGGTTTTGCCATTGTTTTAATGCTGTGGTGGCCAAAGTGCGTCTGAATATTTTTGAGTAATTTTATCTCTGAATGAAATACAAAAAAAAAAAATCGAAATTGCTTATTGTTGGACCCAAACTCTAAACAGGCGTAGGATCGATAATCTCTGTAGGTTACCTAATTGACGTCACTTGACTTAGGTCTACTTTCATTTTACATTATTGTTTGATTTAATTGACATGATTTGATTTTTCTCTGAATATAACTATTGAGCCGAATGAAAAGCACAGAACGGTTGATACAGAGGTTGACTATAAAACTATCTTGTCTGAAAAATCCCAGTACCATTTTTCAATGTGCCCGATAAGGATAATGTTAATAATAAAGTGCTTTGTTCTGTATTACTTTATTCAATAAAATAACATTTTGTAATCCTTGTTTGGCCCTTCACCTAAAAAGTTTGCTCACCGGTGTGATGATAATACGTCTACTATATATATTATGGGTGTTTTCCAACAGAAGATAGAATTTTACAGCATCTCATCCAACGTAAAGTTATATGTAAAGGGCTCGATTGTCTTCCAATTACTATTTATACTTTTTGTCACTGATAATGCTACAAAATAACGGTAAAAGAAAATACGCCCACACTAAAAACTCGTGAAGATATTTGAATTATCTTTATATTATTAAATTATAGAGGGCTTTATTTTTCTTTCATCTTTTCACTTAACACAAACGCCAGCTGAATATCGGAAACCTGCATGATATTCAACAATATTGGTTATTATTTGAGCGCTCAACGGACCAGGACTTAGCAGGGCCTTACGCTTTATTTGAAGAGCGTGGCCCAAGCAAAAGAAAGTTCCCGGTCCAATAAATTTATAGTGAAGCAGGCTAATTAAATGAAATGAAATGGCGTTTAACGTCGGACTCTTCTGCTCCGACTGGGCTAAAGAAGACGGACACAAGCCATGCATTGTGCTATGGGGGGAATTTTGCTGGGACAGTGCTACGGCCTCTTATATTGAATTCCAACTGTCAAAGGATCTTTTAGTGTACGCCAATGTGTAGACAGGACCTCGGTTTTTCGTCCCATCCAAACAACTAGACAGCTCTCCTTGTCAGGCCCTCCGTCTTGCATCACTGACAAGGGGGAATCTCGGTGAACTTTCTCGGCCATGACCGAGAACGAATCCGCGACCTTTAAGCTAGCGAACCAGTGCCTTACTCACTTAGCCACCGTGGCCCCCAGGCTAATTAAAATTACCCCATACTAGTTTTGTAATATATAACAACATCTTTAAGTTGTCTCCACTTGATTTTATCCCCCATTTTCCTTGGGCTCCATTTGTTTTACAGCTTACAAAGTTCAGAATATCTTCTTTGAATGGCATTTGAGAATTGACACAGGTAATAAACACAAAATCATAATATGGAACACAATAACTATCTTAATTTAAGCGACGTTTCGTTGAGGGTTCTCTCAACGTTATCAAAATATAGCAGTGTCTAGCAACCATGATGCAGATTTTATAACTTAATTCACCAAATTTCCCCCAATGCACACTGCATATCGTATACTTCTTCATTAGCTTGGTTCATGGAGAAAAGTAAGCCGTTAAACCACATTTCATTTATTAAACTCGAGTATTGAATTTCTTTATACTGTGGAACGGACTAGTTTCAAGGTGGAGAAATTCCATAGAACATGTGAAATTACAATGTTATGAACCAAATGAAATATTAGATCTAAACAATCATTAAATAATGATAAAAATAACCTTTTGTGAACATCATTAACTTTAGTTCACAAATTAGCAACATACCCTGAACTATTTCTAAGAAAGAAACACATGTTTAAGGAATCTTTATAAATTCTTACTAAGGAATTTGATGCGCCCATCCCACTGAGCGATACTTTATAATCATTTGTTATTTTAGATATGTGGTACCAAGTCGTAGGAAGCTGGTTCTGAAATTAAATTCACTTTTTTGTTTTCGTATCTGACTGTGACATATGTTCACATACCTTTTGGTGTTATTGTAAAAGTATGATTCCACCTGGTCTTGATTTAAATCAAGATTCACTTTTCTCAAGGGTCAACCTGTCAATTTAATAAACTGAAATTATTAAGTTAGAACAACCACATCCATATTCACAAATATCTCGGGACTCAAACTGCAAAAGGATAATGCAAAATGATATTGTAGATTGGTTTTGTTTCATACAATGATAAGCTAATGTCATATCTCAATCCGAGGACTTTAAACAGCTAATACATTATGTTTTTATGCTTGACGCATACGAAACCGTAAAGAGAGAGAGAGAGAGAGAGAGAGAGAGAGATGGGTTTAACGTCCACTAGACACAAGCTAGGTCATTGCGGGACTAACATATGGTTTTAATTTTATTTCAATAATTCGCTTGCGCGTAGGGGTCTTTAGCAGTGGGAGGAAACCGGAGAAAACCCACGAGGCTGGACAGGCGACCCTACCCCTTGTCACGTACAACCTGGGATTCGAAACCACGCCAGTTGACTCAATGACAGACTTTATGATACAGCGCGCACGTGCTAACCATTTGGCCATCCAACCCAACTTGTTAGAAAATTGTCAAATAAAAACCCTAAGCTTTTCGGGGGCAAAAAAGCTTTCCTTGACGGCATGCTATTCTTGTGTGAGTGACTATTGCTGCTGGGGTGGGGTGGGGTGGGGTGGGGCTTCCTCGATAAGTGATATCGCAATAAACCCCACCTGGAAAATGAAAGTTGGTATTTCTACACTAATCTTCGAATATCAGTACGGGACTAGGATAACAGTTTTCAAACATTAAGCATATAATATCTCGGATTTCTCCTCAAAAGCCTCTGATCTAGTGAGAAAACCATATTAGTGTGCGAGTTGACTATATCAACCAGTCTGTATTTACAATGGTATGATGAATTGAAAACGCAATGTCGTCAAAAATCAGTACCACCTTTAATCTTCGTTAAAATCTGTTGACGAGTATCTTCTTAATTCGATTAAATCCAACTTGGGAGATTATCTACCTTTGATGAAATGTTAAGTAATGTTTTTGTCTACATTAAAGCGGAGGTTAAGCAGTTTATTATTGGATATTTTCCATAAAATTCAAATGAAATATCGAGACTTTAATGTTTCTAGTTTATGCCGCACTAACATGAATGTTTATACTAATAAGTCTTGTCGTGTGCCTGGGTATCGAGGTGGGAAGTACATTTCTCAACTTTTGAATCATGGACTTTATGTCATAGATAAATTATATAACACCCATCTACTATAATCTGCTAAAACGTTTGGTTAATTATATTATTTTTGCTATATCCTTATTATTCATGCATGTGGCCGCTAGAAAATGAAGTAACAGAGTACTATAAAGCAAAGCAGTTTATTATTGGATATTTTCCATAAAATTCAAATGAAATATCGAGACTTTAATGTTTCTAGTTTATGCCGCACTAACATGAATGTTTATACTAATAAGTCTTGTCGTGTGCCTGGGTATCGAGGTGGGAAGTACATTTCTCAACTTTTGAATCATGGACTTTATGTCATAGATAAATTATATAACACCCATCTACTATAATCTGCTAAAACGTTTGGTTAATTATATTATTTTTGCTATATCCTTATTATTCTGGAATGTGTCCGCTAGAAAATGAAGTAACAGAGTACTATAAAGCAATATTAAACATAGTTGGTTCTAAAGAAATGGTTAAATAGCTTTCGTTAAAAACGGTTGTGATTCATTGCTGTGTTCTTTAAACCAACAAATGGCCATTACACTCTCTCCGTAGCTATATATCGTATCTGACTATATCAAACCATGTTATGGTGTTAATAGTCTGATTTGTGCTAAGTATTGAACTACAATCGATGTTTTTTAAGGTCTGCCATTTAGACAAGTGTGTGGTTTCGATCCCAAGCTTGCACGTGACACGGAGTAGGGTCGCCTGCCAAAACACGTGGGTTTTCCCCGGTTTCCTCCCAATCCTAAATACTCCCATGCGCACCCGAATTGTTTAAATTGTACAAACAGTCCCGAAATGACCTAGTTTGTGTAGAATGGACGTAAACCTAATGCCTCCCCGTCCCAGCTTTGTCTTCGGAAA